AGCCCCCAGCTACATCCCTAACCTGTCTCAAAATACCAACCAAATTGCACTCTTCGTTCCTCCCAAGACCTCCTTTTCCCTAGCTCCCTTGTCACCTCCTCCCATGCCCTCCTCTTGGACTTCTCCCAAGTCTTTCCTATCCTATGGAACTCCCTAGTCCAATCTGTTCAACAATCTCCTACTCTGTCCACTTTTAGGCATTTCCTGAAGACCCTTCTGTACAGAGAAGCCTTTCCCACCTCCACCTAACAACTGTATCTCCACTTTCTCCATCAGCTCATCTCTCACAGTTGTTACCTTTTGTATCACTTGACCATCCCTATTAGATTGTAAGCTCTAAGGACCAAGGCCCCCCCCCCCCGGAATGCTCCTGTATTGAATTGTGTTGTAACTGTACTGTCTGTTGTAAAGTGCTGTGCAAACTGTTGGTGCTATATATGTCGTATATAATGATAATAATGAATATTTCTTTGTATTTGTACAGTTGTGTAGAGGAAGGCACCGTAGTTACATTGATAATTATAAATAACACTTTGGTCCTGAGTCATCAAATTATGAACATTGATGTATACTGTTCCAGACATTCTAAAGTTAAAGGGAATCTTTCATGAGAGAATATTGGAGTTTGTCATTGCTGAGATCCCTCTTTCATAATGTTGGTTCCCTGACCACTATGCACCCAATTGAAATGAAAAGTGTGACTATTGTATTGGCACTCTGGGTGTTGACATTATGCTCAGATTCAGACTGAAGATAACTAATTTGGATCATTCATATTACTATGGTGTTTGAAATATCAAATCCTATGCTGACCCAGAAAATTTCAATCTAGGTATCAGAAATTCAGTGTATATGTGATGATATCAATACTATCATAGAACTCTATAATCTGGTGGGGATGCTCTAATATTTTTAATACCTCTGTTCAAAAATGGAGCCAGTTGTAGATTATAGACAAACAATTCCAGTGTCCGCTCTGTTGCATAATATGACAATGTCAGACAAAAAAGCATTTGCGTGCTCTCTAAGGGTTGGGCAACACTGGAGATTGGCCTACAGAACAGCAATAGTCAAATCCTACATTAACAGTAAATACCTTTAGCTGATGTGGGTCGGCTCTCCCACACCAGCATAAGACAGGTACAACAAGGAGGGCATTCTGTAAGCAATAATGGGCATGTTGGGTAAACACCCACACAGGCCTTCATTCCCCAAGCCCCAGAGGAAGGGTAAGGTGGGCAAAAAAAGGAGGTTAGGACCCAAAATCATATCCAGAAGGACTATCATGCATCCAGGTTGGTCAGAAGCTGTAAAATATCTCATATTGATCTGTACTAGTCACCAACAATTTTTCTGCTTCCATCACCTTATTCCCAATTGGATCCAATTGGATCTCAATGATATCCTAGTCTGTCTCAAAAAGAGAACAAGATTCCTAGCAGCATTGAAGTGATGGGGTAAGGCATTATTTTTAATGCTTGGTGGACATGGGAGGAAAATAGAGGAGTGTACCTGGAGTGTTCAGTAAGTCTACGTCTAGAATCTTTCTATTCCCACCAAATACACAACAGGATTCAAACTCTGGAAATACCCCTCCAGAAAAGTGGTGATATGGATGGGACAAATTTTGCATGCTTGCACAACCCTGTACTAGCAAGTAGGGAGTTTATGGCATGTTTTTGTGTACTGTGGTCCAAGTCTTTACTGTGTTCTGTGGCACACTGGCGAACAGAAGTTCATGACCACACAATTGCCAAATAAAGTAGCACAGTGCCGAATAGCAAAAAAAATAGCCTGGCCAAAAAGGGGGAAAAACCTTCAGAGCTGAAGTGGTTAATTCAATGTTTGCATGATGTTCACAATTTCAGAAGGTTCACAACAAAGGGTTTCATTAAACTTTATAAATTCTAAATTAAAAATAAAGTCCCCTCACCTCAGTCATTCATATCCAACCAGAAACCTCCCAGTTTAGAATCTTTCAGGTGCTTTGCAGAAACCTGCATTAGTAGATATAGAAGCTGCACACCGTACATTGCTCCTCTGCCAATACATTTCAGATAATGTTCCAGTTTGTTGGGGCCCCAGAAATAAGGACCCATTGTACCCCAGTCAGAGGATCCATGGGAGAGTGTACATATTGTGTGCCGTGCCGTGCCGTGTATTCAGTGTCTAGTGATCACTCCATACATTGTGGAAGTCAACAAATTCTATGTAAAAGGATACAACTACTGTGACACCATTGCTTTCTATTACAAATATCATTTCCTATAGTTTTATCAATTTTACAAAGCTGTTTAGGGAGATTCCTAAAGTTTAACTAAAGTAAAAAAATACTTTTCTTTGAATTATTTGAATATTAAGACAATAATCTATATCACTATAAATGTAAAATGATGGGAAATGTTATGTGGGGACATCTGGAGAACAAACCTTCCCCAACCTGGCATCATTCTTCATTATTTAACTTTTCCACAATTTTATTTTCTATATTTGCTCATCTTTCCCCCATTTTATTGTTGATTCTTTCCACCATCACAACTTCCCATTTCACACTTTTATAAAATGGAGAAACATCTATTAGTAAAATAAGAGATGAAAGGGTGAAGTCTGGAAAATCTAAAAGCAATTATTTATTTCTAAAGGCCCAAGGTGTGTGTCGCTGAGGGAGAAATGAATTCAGATGATGCTTGATTTTCTGTAGAGATTCATCTTCCAGAGGATTCATGATTTAAATTAATCTCAGATGGACGCAGAGCCAGTCTACACCCCTGTGTGCTCCGGAGATGTCAGGGGGAGTGTCTGTATTATAAATATATGGATGTGAGGAGAAGGAAATTGTATTGTGACCAGAAATGGCACATAGATTGTTTGCTATTTTCATTTTTCTTCCTTTATTAAAATGTCTATATCATCAGACTTCTAGCACTGAGCTGACCCTTCCAGAGGAGACTCCCCTCCCCCTCTTCTATCAGAATGGACGTCTGCCGGGGGGATCACTGACATAATCTGGGCTGGGAGGTAAAACAAGGAGAATTCTTCATTTCACCAGTCTGCCCATTCACAGGTATTCATTTCCTTCATTATTTGTATTCCAGGTACGGGACATTCCAGTCATTGCTTCATTTGTAGAACCCAACTCATCAGAATTGGTGTCATCTTTGTTGTATTTATTTATTGTGTGTCAGAGATGGTTTTGCATATACTGTATGTCTGATGCCATAATCCCTGACACTGATCACATTGATGGATTTGCTCTCAGTTCAGGTAATATATCTTGTGCTTTAGTAGATACAGGGCAGGTAAAGAGTCACATTGTATTTACAGTATGTACAGGCTGACAAATCTGATGCTGTTGTCACTTTCTACACATTGGATGTTCATTTCTTCCTTTGATTGAAGGAAACATACATTATTAACCTGTAAAATGGTAATTGTTTTTTATGCTCCTTGTATTACCTGTGTTTTAGCATATTCACAAAGGCCAGGGAATACTGTGCTAAGTATGGGATACAGTTACCTCATCTCTTCAGACTTTGATTCATTTTAATTTAATATATGTGATGATGCTGTTCCCTTATTTATCAGAATATCTCTTTGTATTTGTACCCCCAAAGTCTGTAAGTACCCCCCTATGTACTGTGATGAATGTTATGAGATAGCACTTTGAAGTTAGATCATCAACTCATGTCTGTTTAAATCTGTTTGTATTTCATTTTACCATTCATTCAACCATTCATGATACTTCAATGTACTATGCACATCAGTATAAAAATGGGGATCGGTTATCAATCATCGACTCGAGACTGCCATTGCTGATATCAAAGGTTATACTGCCTGTTACCCTCTGTAACTCTTTCATAACTGTAGAGAATGGGGACAGGACTGATTGTTTTAATATCTCATTGGTTGTTTCCTATGTTTGATATTTCACAAATTATTTTAAATAAAGAGCTAAGTATTGATACAATAAAACACATGCCATCGCTCTTTGATTCATTGTGCATTATATATTAATGACTTCCTATTTATCAGAATATCTCTTTGTATTTGTACAGTTGTGTAGAGGCCGGCCCATTGCTGACATATGAATATAGAGAACACTTTGGTCCTGACTCATGGAAATACAAACATTGATAAATACTGCCATTGCTGATTATACAATTAAAGGGAACCTGTCATGAGAGAATAATGGTGACTGCCATTGCTGATATATGAATAATGGAGACTGCCATTGCTGATATATGAATAATGGAGACTGCCATTGCTGATATATGAATAATGGGACTGCCATTGCTGATATATGAATAATGGGGACTGCCATTGCTGATATGTGAATAATGGGGACTGCCATTGCTGATATGTGAATAATGGAGACTGCCATTGCTGATATGTGAATAATGGGGACTGCCATTGCTGATATATGAATAATGGGGACTGCCATTGCTGATATATCTTTTAGAGAACGTTGGTTCCCTGACCATTTTGTTGATAACTTGAATTGAATGCTGAGTTCCTGACCAGTAACACACACAGGGATACGTATATAAATACTCATTTAAATCCCAATTTAAATTAGATGCAAATTGTAACTGGGTGATATTTAAACCTATATTTGTACAGTTGTCATTTTCACATTCAAAGTCTTGTTTCCATTTTTTTTTCTAATCCTAGTGCCGCTAACCTCCTGCAGTCTCTTTCAACAGGAAATTTTTTTAAGTGGATCTAAAGCCATTTTTTTTTAGACTATGGGGTTAGAAACCTCATTTCGGTCAACATCTTAAAGTAATAGAATTTGCCTATAAAATATTTTAGAAGCTCATAAATCAGATTTTACTTTACGTTGTATAAAAACGTGATCTGTATTTTATTTATAGGTTTTCTATTTTTATGAAATGAATTTTGGTGAAGCTTTAATGCAAATTTACAGTTTTACAAAATTTTGGAGTTCAGATTATATTACAATATCAGATTCAAAAGAGTCAATAAAAAAGTATTATATAATGAGAAACCAGACAATATTAAGTGAATTTGTTCTCTCCAGGCTGTCTGATCTTCCGTCTCTTCAACTTCCTCTGTTTCTCTTCTTCCTTCTCATCTACCTTCTGACATTAATCTGGAATTTTCTGATCATTGTCCTCATAGTCACCGACTCTCACCTCCATGTTCCTATGTATTTCTTCCTTGGGAACCTGGCCGGTTTGGACCTCTGTTCTTCCTCGGTCACCGTCCCACGAATGTTGTTTGACCTTCACACCCAGACAAGACAGAAAGATTACCATAACAGATTGTCTAACCCAATTTTTTTTTTTTTTTATTCTTTGCCAGCGCTGAGATTTTTCTGTTGGCTGTCATGTCCTACGATCGATATACGCCATTTGTCGGCCATTACATTACACACAGGTCATGAATTGGAAAGTGTGTGTCCAGTTGGCCTCCATTGTGTGGTGTCTCGGTTGTATCCATTCTCTAGTTCACACACTTTATGTCTTGAATTTAACATTTTGCAGATCAGATATTATAGAAAGTTTCTTCTGTGACCTTCCCAGTTGTTTCAGATCTCCTGCAGTGACATCTTCATCAACATTTTCTGCTCGTCTTTATCTTGGGTGGTTTCCTTGATGCTTGCTCTATAATGCTGACCTTCCTGCCCTATGTCTATATACTCAAAACTGTCCTGAAAATACAAGTTAAAGGGAAAAGGAGTAAAGTTGTCTCTACGTGTTCCTCTCACCTGACAGTGGTCTTCATATTTTATTGCTCCTGTATGTTTAATTATTTTCAGCCAAGAACTAATCATCATTTAGCTGCTGACAAAGTGTTGTCTGTCTTTTACACCATAATTGTTCCTCTCTCCAATCCTCTGATATACAGTCTGAGGAACCAGGATATCCGAACAGCAACTCACAATGTTGTTAGGAGTATTGTCTCCATCGCAATACAGAATTTATCTAATCTAAACCCTCATTCTTAGACACTAGAAATATACCGAATAGTTCAGTGACAAGCTGATTACCTAAAATATATCTCTGGGAAAACTTTTTGTTTTTTCTTGCTTTTGGGTTAATAAAGGGTTAAACCTCCAGACAGTCAAAAAGTATCAAAACATGAAACAGAAAGTCGATATCCAATATGTGTTTAATATGAGAAATAATCCCCACTTGCTGTCTGCAGTTTTCCCCCACCAATGAAAAAATCAAGCTTCTTACAAGAAGCACATGACCCCTCTAAGCAGACGTCATTGGGGGATCATCACTAGGAATCCGGCTAGCAACCTCCAAAGTAAGACTTATAGATATCTTGAAGCCTTTAAGATAAGGGAGCCCCCAGATGATGCCCTTCCTATATAAATGAATAATGGGTACACACTGCCCTAATTCATTCATAAAAATGTAAACATTAAATAAAGACACACATGTTTCTGACAAGTTCTTTAATAAAATAATTTAAAAAAAAACTAATATAAAAAATTAAAACCCCAATATAATCCACAATGTAAATCCATTGTCAATCACATTGTCCAGTGATGTAGATCCATCCTCAACCCCAATGAACTAACCCCACTGACTCACTAAAAGAAAACACACCCACTGACCAATGACATGATTTCCTGGGCCCAGACGCTTTGTTAACAAAAGGGTTGAGGTCTCCTGGGTGATGTCATTGGCCAAATATGAACATGCCATAATTGGTCAATCCTTTGTGCTGGAGACCATGCTGGACTGATTGGATCAGTCACTGGTTTTGGATGGGTGGTTTTGTGGGCATATAGGAAGGAATTCCTTCAGTAGGTTCAGCCCAGTCTTAAATGATGGTAATGAAACCTTTGGTAAGGCCTTATGGTTGTTTCCACATGTAGACTTGAAAGTAAGTACATCATAGCCAACGTGTTTCAGGGGTAAGTGCTCCCCCTTTTTAAGGGCTGGTGCTGCATGCTATTTCAATAGGGAAAAAATCTACATAATTGGTTGATGTCATTGCCCAAATATGACATATGTGGCCATATTTGCTCAGTGATGTCAGCGCTATCCCACAACCTTAGTTTACCTGGCCAGGGATTCAAAGTCAGCAAATGATTGGGGCTGGATGGTGTCACTGGTGGATGCCATGCCATTACTATATGTTTTATGTTTGACTGCAACCAAACAAGTAAAAAGTTATGACTGAACCCTGAATACATCACTATTTGAGATATGTATTGAGAGAATTACCGCTGTCACAATTAATCAAATAGCCAAGTAATCATCTTCATCTGTCTATGGATATCCAATTAGATATATTTTTTTAATGTACTATATACTTTTTGAAATATTTTTCAAAAAGCGATGTCATTCTTGTAAAATCTCCCTGCTGGCCATCGCCTCTGGTGAGGTGAGGGAATAAACGTTGGGAAATAAGATCCTGGGAGAGATAGTTTTGAATCAGAATAATAGCCTATTAAATCAAACACATTAAGTCTATCTGTATTGTACTATTCCCTACTGGATATGATTAAACATTATTTTTAATATATTATTTTGTGAAATATTAACTTTTATGCGATCCATACTTCTTTATGGGAAATGTGAAAATGATTATTGCAATATTGATCATATAGTAAACTAAGTCCCAGATTCAGTGGAAACAACAGATGATAAGAATAGATAGACTATAGAGTTCCCTCTATGAGGACAATCACCCAAGTGACACATGAAAAGTCCAAATGAATAAACAATCTCCATTTTACTGTGTAATGAGCAACCACCTGACCATGATGGCTCTACCACCAAACTAACACAAGGTAATCAGAAGAGTCCACTTCCACCATTCCTTCTTATAAGATATATAAAGAGGGATCCCACCAACTCTCTAGAATATTTCTGATGGAATATTCAACAAATGGGGAGAAGAAAAGAAAAACTGTCCACATTGCAATTTTATTTGTGTTGACGAGAGAAGAATCCAGAGCTCTTCCATGTTCCAGGTGGTCCCGGTACCACATCCTACATACATAATGAGACATCGGCTCTCAGTGTGGTCATGACATTTCCTCCTTAGGAGTGTCTATATAAAAGGAGACTTTAGGATACAACCTTCATCCCAGCATAAACCTTATCACCTACCCTGCCTCCTTAAAATATACAATATAAAAGACAATCAGCGTGGTAGAGGCTCATATCCTGTAAATGCACAAAAGTCCATAATAGTTCATAAATATCCATCACTGTATAACCGGTTAGGTGGCAGCCATCCCAGAGTATGCCAGCTTTATATGGATGTATGATGTATAAGAAGAAAGAGAGAGACGTCTTAAAATAAATCCTCACCCTTCCCCAACTGGATATCCTCCACCCAACCCCATAACTTTACACAGAAACTCTCCTTAATTTGCAAAATAGTCAAAACATTTCCTTTTCCTCAATTTTGAGTATGTATGACCTTTGTGAGATTGTTTTGTCACCTGCATCCCCTTTGGGAGATCTCCCTTCTTTTTCTGTTCTTTAACAGTTGTCACTGGAACAGTTGTCGCCATTGGAGGATTTAATACTAAATAATCTTCATTGGGGCCAACAATGAGAGCCCCAGCAAGGTGTCAGGGATAGTAATGGTACCTCCCAGCATCTGTCAGTGGCAGTAATGATAACTCCCAGCATCCGTCAGTGGCAGTAATGATAACTCCCAGCATCCGTCAGTGCCGGTAATGATAACTCCCAGCATATGTCAGTCCTGGCAATGATAACCCCCAGCATATGTCAGTCCCGGCAATGATAACTCCCAGCATATATCAGTCCCGGCAATGATAACCCCCAGCATATGTCAGTCCCGGCAATGATAACCCCCAGAATATGTCAGTGCCAGCAATGATAACCCCTAACAAAGCTATAGATGGCAGGGACAGCTTGGCAAACATTCAGCTGATGGCAGTGGATGAGCTATAGATGGCAGTGGAAGCTAGGCAAACATTCAGCAGATGGCAGTGGATGAGGAGCTAATGTTAGTGGCAGATTGTCTTCCAGCAACTGTTGAGTCAAAACAGACAAGTAGTTAAAGTGATTGTTATTGGGGTTTTTATATAAAATAATAAACAGGTTTATAATTACATGCTTTATGCAATGGTCCCAAACCTTCTCCTCTAGGGTCCCCCACCAGTGATCTTAGCCCCTCCTCTTCTGTGACTGCCCTCAAAGCAAGCTGCTTGGTATGGGGGTAGATGTACAGGCTCACGCCCGAGCAGGACTGTGTGTGTCTATAGACACACACAGCCCGGCTACACACACAGACTGGCTCGGCCCCACCCTAGCTCTCTGCTCACTGGATTTGATTGACGCTGCAGGAGCCAATGACTCCCACTGCTATCAGCAAATCCTGAGAACCAGGAAGAGGGCAGAGAAAACTTGCAGTTGGGAAAGCTCTGGATCAATTAAGGGAAGGGTTAGTGTTAAGGAGGGGTGGGGGAGAGGCAGTGCAAGGTGTTTTTTACCTAATTTAGAGAATGCATTAAGATAAAAAAAACCTTTAGTATTTTTTTAGAAGCACTTTAACATCACAGGTAAAGTACTGCACAACAGCGATAAAGCAATACATTTGAGCAGACCCAAGACAAGGTTCTCAATACCGAATAAAAAAAACACTTTGCGTGAGCCTACCTTACAGCAGAACCTTGTTAAAAAAGTTGCTGCAAGAGGCAGTGGTGGATGACCTATAGATGGCAGTTTGGCAAACACCCGGTAGATGCCAGTGGATGAGCAGCTGTCAGGGCAGATTGGGTGGGATCACAAGAGGCAGTGGTGGATGACCTATAGATAGGCGTGGAAGCTTGGAAACCACCTAACAGAAGTCAGTGGAAGATTGGCAAAAAGCAACTGTTGAGGCAATAAATAAAAAAAGTTCACAGCGCAAGTAAAATGCCACACAGCAGACAGAAAAGCAGTACTTTAGAGCAGACCCAGGACAAGGTTCACATAATACAGAAAGCATGAGCCTACCTTTCAGCAGAACCTCACCAAAATAGTTTGTGGTGGTTGAAGGATCACCATGACCTATAGATGGTGGTGGAAGTTTGGCAAACACCCAGCAGACACAGCTCCACAAACATCTAGAGACAGCAGTGAAAGCCTGGCAAAAAAAAACTGTTGATGCAACAAATAAAACACAATTACAATACAGGTCAAAAATCACACAACAGATAGAAAGCAGTGATTAAAAAGTTACTTTGTAAAGATTAAGCAACTCATGGCACCTTTCTGCCTGAAAGCTGTGTTTACTGTACTTACTCAGGACACTTCCTGAGTCTCCTCTCAGCATCAGAGGGCAGAATCCACCTTTACATCAGTCACACTACTTAGGGGTCCCCCTTTAGATCTGAGTCCATTCTTACATTAGCCCCCGCATACAATGGAGTCTCCCCTTAGATCAGTCCACTCTTACTTCAGAATCCCCCTTTAGATTATAGTCCCCCTTTGATTTAAAGAAGGACTCTAATTTAGTCTAAGTCAAACTTTAGGTCAACGCCCCCTTTGATCTGAACCCCCCATAGACTGGAGTCCCCCCTTGGAGTAAA